CCTCCCTGTCCCACCCCTCTAGGTGGTCACAAAGCACCGAGCTGATCACCCTGTGCTATACAGGGAGGGCGAAGGGTAAGCTGGGACAAAGTGAGAGAGTGGCATAGACATATATACACTGCCAAATGTAAAATAGATAGCTAGTGAAAAGCAGCCGCAGTGGTTAAGACTCCGCCTTCCACTGCAGGGGGCGCGGGTTTGGTTCCCGGTTGGAGATCCCGCCTGCCGTGGGGTGTGGCCAAAAAAAAAATAAAAAAGACACTTTCATCATTTTCATGGACTGACCTCATAATCGGTATTACAGATTTGAACAGAGAAAATACACACCATTCAAACATTGCTCTTTTATCTGTTTTTAAAATTGGGGGGATTCTACCTCAGATTTCATTTAGGAGATAAATGCTCTGAGGCGACATAAGCTTGAGACCACTGGCTCGGGATCTGCGGGGAACTCCAGCCTCCAGTGACCTGTGAACCAACAGAACATGTTTTTTGAGCATCAGTGCTGCCCAAGGAGTGGAGGGTCGTGGAGGGGTGTGATGGGGGGACCATGGAACTGGACGAGAGCCAGCCAGGGGAGGGGCGGCTTCTTAAAATCCCCTGCGCTTTGGGGGAAACACAGAGGAAAATGCGTGGAAGGAGCTACAGGGTCCCCCTGGGGGGATGACGAGGATGGGGCTGGTGACGATTTGGACTTTTTACTTAGTACATTCCTGCGCTAGTGGGATGGTTTACAAGAAGGAAGCCACGTCTGCCTTGGGAAGCCTAAACTGTGGATGTTATGAAACCAGTACTCGGCCTGGGAAGAGAGCATCGTTCTCTCACCTGGCCCCCAACTCTGAAGTCAGCCTCGTTCACCCGCAGAGAGGAAACGGCAGCACAAGTGACAGGGCATTCTCAACAAACACACCTTGTCCAAGGTCCAGGGTGAGTCAGGAAAGCTGTTGTTGGCCTAAACGAACTCAAACAAATGGCCCGCCCCCTCTGATAGCCTTAAGAGCTCCCTCTGGCAGGTGCTGGGCCACACGGGGGATGGGACGAGGCAACGCAGGGAGGCTCCCAGCTCTCTCACAGTCCTGGTAGCTACTATTATTACCGCCACTCCTGGGCCCGATGGAGCCAGGGTGGCCGAGCATCAAGGAGGGCCTTGGTCCTAGGCCGCACTTCTGACAAGTTCCCGGGCCCTGTTCCTCTGGCTCTAAGACCTGCTGGGAGGGGCCTGGGTTTTCACAGGGTCCCGGGGCTCCTGGCGCACACTGGAGGGATGGGTCGCGGGTCCGTTAGTCCTGGGTGGGAATTGCTTTATGAGGCTGCCCTGGGCCAAGGCCGAGCCTGCTTCCTTCCGCCGGCCGCAAAAAGGCTGGGCCGCGCTGGGCCCAGCAGATGTGCTTTAGTGGCCCGAGACAGGATGCAGTAAATGCCCACCCGCCTTTCACATGCAGATGCCTCTGGGGCTCCCCTTTGTGCTGACCAGCCCGGGGGCCGGTCCCTGCAGCCCCCGCTGTGCCCAGCCCTGCCTCTGAATGGCTCCCCTCGGGGAGCCCAACTGCCCAAGAATGGACTCCAATAAAGGGCCTGATGGGGGGACCCAGGCCGGTTACAGATGTCCCATGACCACGCCCACCCACAAGTCCTAGCACAGTAAGAGGGCTCCACCTGGCCAGCAACGTGCCCAGCGGCTCCAGGAAGCCTGGACCTCCTGTTCTCCAATCTGGGACATTCCTGGCCCAGATGACAGCTTCAGAGCCCAGCTCACACATCACGGGCTCCCCATCTCCCTGGCGGCTCAGTCTCTCTCCACCTGACACTAGCCTTTCCGGGTGCTGTTTACGCTGCTCTCCCCATACTGGACGGTCAGCTTCCCGAGAGCAGGGACTTCCATCTGCCGCACTCACTGCCCCTTGTCCCATTGCCTACAGCGGTGTTTCTAGTATAAAAGAAGCACTCGATAAATATTTGTTGGGCGAGTGGATGAAAGAACAAGTGCATCTTTAATGAGAAGCAGTGTGCTACTGCGGGGAAAACTGGGGCTTGGAGTCAGGTGGACCGGGGCAGGGCGGGGGACAGTGGGCAGGAAGGGAGGGAACCCTGGCCCAGCCACTTTCTCCACTTTGGCCACTTCCCAAATCTCTCTGAGCCTCTGTTCCGGCTTTGAAAAGGGCTGGTTTTGAAGGTAGCTTGATCATCAGTGACTGCTATTACGGTGGTCGGTATTGCTTTAAAAAGCAGAGCTAATACTCCCCATGTGCTCTGTGTCCCCAAACAGGTGGGAAACTTTCCAAAAACCTGAGGACACCTGTCACCACAGAAAGTCTAGGAAGAGAAGTGGTGAGTCACCCCCTCCGGGGTTCCCAGAACAGAAGGTGCTGTTTGGGAACCCGCGGCAGCTGGGGAGATGCCATGGAGGCAAACGCCCCCCTGGGCCCCGGGACCCCCATCAAGCTGCCCCTCTGCAGCGCTGCTCTCACCCTGGGAACTTCCTCTGAGCTCCCTTGTGACTTCAAAGCCAGCCTTGCATATCAAGGAGGCCACAGAGTGCAGGCTGTGGCTGCAAAAACTACACAAAGTGGTGGAAGCCTGGCGTTATTCACGTTGGCCAGCAGGGCCTGGCCCAGGAAAGGGCCGTGTCCCCAAGTCTGACATCCCCAGGGAAACTCCAAAAGCAGGCGGATTTTACTGGGGGAAGTTGCCCACATACACTCACTGCCAGGAGGCTCTGGATGCTGGGCTCCAGGGGCCCCACAGGAGGGCATGGGCGGCTTCCTTGGGCCTGAGTGTGATCAGCTGGCCACTGGAGGCCGGGCCTGGGCGGAGGGGCCTAGCCTTTAAAGAGCCAGCACAAGAGCTGAAGAGAGAAAAGGGACGTGGGTGAGGGCCAGAGGCTGCCGCAGCGTGGAGGGCCCAGGCACTGCGGGTGCTGGGCTGCTAAGGGGCTGGTCAGTGAAAACCCCCCGAAAGTCTGTATAACTGGAAGCAAGGGGGTGAAGTGGGCAGAGGGAGAGAAGAGGCCACAAGGGTCACTCGGGAAGGCCCCGGTGGAGCAGGAAAATGCATGGGGACGTGGTCCTGTGGCATGGAGTCCCAGGGAGGGTTCAGAGGGGCCAGGCCTCATCCTCCAGGACGATCAACTCCCCTGATATAATGAGAACTACGTCCCCTCACTGGAAACAGTCCCACACACTATGGGGAAGGCACTTCTCCCCTCTCTCAGCTACAAAACTGGCTGGGATGTATTTTAGGACTGTGAGTATATCCGGTTATTATACCGCTGCTAGATTTATACAGTGTAGTTGCTACCAAAGACACTCCAGCTAGATAAACCAGTTGAATTAAAGCAAATCAAGACAAACAACTCCCGGGGATCTGTTGGAAGATGCCAGCGCCAAACCCACAGAGGTTAAAGGCCCAGGGATCACCCTCCTTCGAGTCACAGCCTGGAATCTGTGCAGGTGTTAGTTGGACAGTGTATCGGGGGGAGCATCACCCAGGGGAGACTGCTAGAGAGAAGCCCCTGACCTTTTCCAATGCCCGCTTCTCCCTCAAAGGACTCTAAGTATGGGACCAGCACAGCGGTTAGGAGTCGCGCAGACCTGGGTTCCCATGGTCCCTGGGCCATCCCAGCTGAGACCCTAGCAAGCCCTGAGCCTCAGTGGCTTCAGCTGATTGAGGGAGATAACCTCCTCCCACCCCCACGCTGTTAGGGGGACTACATGACATAAACAGGGATGCCCAGCATAGAGGAAGCACTCTCTGAGAGCAGCCAGCTTTGCTGGTGCTGGGAGACGCCTGGAGCCTCACTGGCCCGGGAGGGGTGCACACCAGACCCACATTGCTGACTGGAAACAAGGGCTCACAATCAGCCCTACCTATTCCAAAGCCACTGCTGAATCCATTTTGTGCTCCTCAGCAGAAGGTAGACGGGGAGGGACCGAGGCTCTGTCCATATCCTTGACCTACTTTATTTCTCAGGTTTTTGAGGGAAAAATGACCCTGCTAAAATGCAAAGGACTTCGGGACTTCCCTGGTGGTTAAGAGTCTGCCTGCTAACGTAGGGAACACGGGTTCGAGCCCTGGTCCGGGAAGATGCCATATGCCGCAGAGCAACTAAGCCCGTGCCCCACAACTACTAAGCCTGCGCTCTAGAGCCCGCAAGCCACAACTACTGAGCCCCCATGCCACAACTAATGAAGCCCATGCACCTACAGCCTGCGCTCTGCAACAAGAGAAGCGACGGCAATGAGAAGCCCGCGCACCACAAGGAAGAATAGCCCCCGCTCGCCGCAACTAGAGAAAGCCCGCATGCAATGAAGACCCAAAGCAGCCAAAAATAAAATTAATTAATTAATTAACTTTTTAAAACATTTAAGAATGAATGAAAATGTAAATTAGTTTAAATAAATAAATAAAATGCAAAGGACTGACAAACCCACGTGTTGGTGAGGACACAGAGCCACGGGGACTCTCACATATACCACTTTGGGAAACGATTTGACAGCATCTTCTAGCAATGAACATATGCCTATCTTATGACCAGCAATTCCACTCCTAGGCCTGTACCTAGCAGAAATGCATCCATGCATTCACCACACATGTTCTAGAATGTTCATGGCAGCACTATTCAAAATAACTGAAAACAGGAAACTACACCCCCTCAACAGAAGAACAGATGTGTACTTTAATATAAAGTTGTTGTTTTTTAAGTGGCCCTGATTTTAAAAAAATTAAAAGCACGTGTAACAGGAATTCCTGTACTAACATGGGACGTGCTCTTTCGGCCGCACTTCTCAGCAGGCTGCCGCCGTGGGCCGCGGGGTCTGTGGGCAGAGGAAGGGCACCAGCTCCACGTTCCGCGTGCACGTGAAGCACCGAAAGATGCCGCGTCTCTGCACACCATGGACTTTGCCAAGCAACACAGCTGCATCAAGGGTATCGTGAAGGACACCATCCACGACCCGGGCTGCAGCGTGCCCCTTGCCAAGGTGGTCTTCCAGGATCCATACCGTTTTAAGAAGCAGACAGAGATGTTCATCACCACCGAGGGCATCCACACCAGCCAGTTCATGTACTGTGGCAAGCAGGCCCAGCTGAGCATCGGCAATGTGCTCCCGGCGGGTACCGTACCTGGGGGCACCATCGTGTGTTGTCTGGAGGAGAAGCCTGGTGACTGGGGCAAGCTGGCCAGAGCCTCTGGGAACTATGTGACTGTCATCTCCCACAACCCTGAGACAAAGAAGACCAGAGTGAAGCTGCCCTTGGGCTCCAAGAAGGTCATCTCCTCCACCAACAGAGCTGTGGTCGGTGTGGTGGCTAGAGGTGGCCGCGTTGACAAACCCATTCTGAAGGCCAGCCGTGCCTACCACAAGTATAAGGCAAAGAGGAATTGCTGGCCATGTGTGCGGGGTGTGGCCATGAACCCTGCTGAGCATCCCTTTGGAGGTGGCAACCACCACCATATCGGCAAAGCCTCTACCATCCTCAGAGATGCCTCTGCTGGCCAGAAAGTGGGTCTCACTGCTGCCCACCGGACTGGGTGTCTCCGGGGAACCAAGACTGTGCAGGAGAAAAAGAATTAGGGCTGAGGGCTCAATAAAGTTTGTCTCTTTCACAAAAACAAACAAACAAACAAACATGGGATGTGACGTTTAACTGTCATACTTATGGGGTGTATTGTGTGCCAAGCACTGTGTCAAGGGCCATCATGGCACCTGCCTGCACCCCTCTGCGCCCCTCTCCATCCCCTCAGGTGCTCTAGTCCAACACCGGAGCCATTCTTTATTTCATCTTCTCCCTGTTCCCCGCAATATCCAATACATAGGCAGGTCCCATTGGTCCTACTCCCAAAACATCTAATTCACCCCCTTCTGTTCATCTCCATTGCCACCCCCTAGTCCACGCCCTATCATGTCTCCCTGGACCACCCAAGGGTCTCCCAACTGGCTGTTCCCCTGTTTCCTCTGGAGCCCGGCCATCTGCCCCACTGCCAGCTCATTCTCCACTTTGCAACCAGAGATCTTCTTAAAATATTTTGTTTTCTGGTGCAGTATTTTTTTCCAGCACTTTTTGAGACAAAATTGACAAAATATTTGTAATTTGATATCTTGAATGGGAAATACATCCACATGGTTCAAAACTTTAAAAAATGTTTATATACAAAGTTACCGAGGGAAGAGCCTTGCTCCCATCCCTACCCCCAACCACCTAGTTCTCCCCAATCACTTGCCTTCCAGCTCTTCACAGGTTGAAGCTCTTCCCTCCAGTTTCCTTATACAAACACACCAGCAGGAATACACACTTGCATTTCTGCCTTTTCCACCCAAAAGACGGCACAGTGCACATCCTGTCTTCACTGACAGCACGTCTACATAGCAGGCATGCTCGTTCTTTTTTATGCAGCATGGAATTCCACTGTGTAGAAGGATAGACTGTAATACTCCCCTAGCGATGGATAGTTGAGCTGTTTCCAGTCTTTTGCTATTTCTCAAGGCACTGCCATGAATGACCTCCCACCTATGTCATTTCTCATGTATGAGGCAGTACACTGATAGATCATGCCAAATGCATCTTCCACAAGCAATATAAGACAGGGTCTGCTTCCACAAACTCTCACCAAGAGAATGCGTTCCCAAAGTTGTGGATTTTGGCCAATTTTCTCAAATTGATGAAAAAAGGCATCTCAGGATAGTTTTAATTTGCACTTCTCTTATTCGAGTAAGGCTGAGCATCTTTCCTATGCTTTTCCTTTGTGTTTCTATTTGTTTTCCTTTCCCATGAATTGTTTATATCCTTTGTGCATCTTTCTATTGGGCTGTTGATTTGTTGCTGTTGTCGATTTCTAGATTTTGAGGCATAGATACAAAGGTATTCTCCTACTCCAAGATTTCAAAGGGAATCTCTCCTGTTTTCATTTACTTATATGGTTTCAATTTCTACATTTAAATGTCTTGAAAACATAAATCAGATCACACGACACTCCTGCCTAAAATCTTCAGTGACTTCTCATTGCACCCAGTATGGAATCCAGACAGCTCTCTGTGACCCTCAGGTCCCTGCCTGCTGTAGCCCTGAGCACCCTCGCTAGTCCCCACTCTCTCTTCAGTTCCGTGAGTGCGTGCGATCTGCTGAGTTCTCCTCCCGAGCTCTCCTCCGCCTCAGGCTTTGCAGCCACTGTTCCCTTCAGATGCAAGGCACTTCCTCCTCCACTTCACCCCATGCCCCCTCTTACCCTCTGGTTCTGCGATGCCAGTGGCAATTACAAAGCCCAGGGCCCAGTGGTGCCAACAGTGGTCCTGGCAGTGTCCTCTGTGCACAAGACTTGGTGGGCAAGACGCCCTCCTACCGTCTAAGCAGACAGTCAAGGCAGTCCAACTGAATTACAATGCCAGCCACGTATGTAATTTAAAGTTTTCTGGTAACCACATTAACAAAGGTTAAAAGAAGGTGGAATTAATTTAATATATTTTATTTAAGCTAACATATTCAAATTACTATCATTTCAATATGTAACCAATATAAAACAATACAATGAACTTTATACATTTTTTCTCACTAAGTCTTCGAAATCCAGTGTGGGTTGTACACTTACACCACATCTAAATTCAGACTTGCCACATTCCAAGCGCTCAAAGGCAAGGAATGGGGCTGCGCTGTTGGACAGGGGCGCAACTCTAACCAGCAGTGTCCCGGTGCTCATCCAGGCACGCCGTTTTGCCTGTCACACCCGGCGGCTGCAGCGCGATCCTCCCGGGACCAGCCCTCCTTTCGCCAGGCGGGGCGGGGCCAGAGCAGCAGCCCCGCCCCGCCCCCCGGCAGCGGCCCACAGGACCCGGCTGAGCACAGCGCCGGGCGCTCCAGGCGGCCTGCGCGGCCCACTCACCTCGCCAGCGCCTCCACAGAGCCTACGATCGGCGCGCCGCCGCCCTCACCGCCGTCGTACAGCACGCCTGAGATGTCGAGCAGCACCCCGCGCACACCGGCCAGCCGCTCGCCCCACGCAGCCATTGCGTCCCGCCTGCGCCTCGGCGTCCGCGTCCCAACCGGCTGCTGGAAGCTGCGGCCGCGCTCGCCGCGCAGGGTTGCCTGGGAAGTGTAGTCCCGCGGGCGGGGCGGGGCAGAGCTGGGCCGGTGGGGCGTGGCCGGGCGCAAACCCGGCAAGACGGGCGCTGCTTCCCGACTCCCGAGTCACGCGCTCCCAAAATGGGAGCCTTTTCACCTGGAGATCAGTGGATAAAGGGTCAACCTCCCTAAAATTGGAGCAAGGCAGATTGGGACGAGGAGGCAACCGGAAAAGTAACAAAAATTAAAGAGAACAGGCAAGACCTTCATTGGTGTTTTCCTGTGGCCCGATGACACTCCTAACAGCAATGGAGATAGTTGGGCCCACAGACTGGACGGTGCTGCGCGCCTGAGAAGCAATGATAAGGTAACGAATCTCTAAAGACATGTCTGAAGTGTAAACTATGATGCCAGAACAAGGTGGAAGAAAAATAAATGTTCAGGGACCGGAATTGTTCAAGAAGTGATAAGATGGCTACTGACAGAAATATTATGCCATGAAAAAAGGAAGACTAGGTTACAACATGAAAAACGCTCACAATATAACATTGTGTGAAAAAGCAGAGGGACTTCCCTAGCTGTCCGGTGGTTAAGACTCGGCTTCCAATGCAGGGGGCGTGGGTTCCATCCCTCGTTGAGGAACTAAGATCCCACACGCGGAGTGGTGCAGCCAAAAAAAAAAAAAAAGCAGAATGCAAAATTGTATGTAGACCTCTGCCTACAAAAATAAGGCATAGGAATGGCTGAGAAGAAAATGGGAATATTTCAATGTGTTAGCCCAGTGAGATTTTGGATGAATTTTTACATTCTATTTAATGTTACATCATTTTTGTAATAAATAAAAGTTGGTAGAAAAGGGGAAGAGTTTCCTTAACTGCCCTTCTGACCCTTTCAAGTGTTTAAACTGAAACTTCAAAAAATTTGACTTCTGGGACTTCCCTGGTGGCACAGCGGTTAAGAATCCGCCTGCCAAAGCAGGGGACATGGGTTCAAGCCCTGGTCCCAGAAGATCCCACATGCGCGGAGCAACTAAGCCCATGCGCCACAACTACTGAGGCTGCGTTCTAGAGCCCGTGAGCCACAACTACTGAGCCCGTGTGCCACAACTACCGAAGCCTGTGCACCTAGAGCCCATGCTCCGCAACAAGAGAAGCCACCACAGTGAGAAGCCCGTGCACTGCAATGAAGAGTAGCCCCGCTCGCCGCAACTAGAGAAAGCCTGCGCACAGCAACAAAGACCCCATGCAGCCAAAAATAAATAAATTTATTTTTTTAAAAATTGACTTCTCTTAGCCTGACTTAACTTTAAGTTTTCAAAAAAAGACCATATTAGGGTGGCCATTTTGTTTCAGGCTCTTGATTCACAGATGGGATGAAGAATTCATCAGAATATTAGAACTTTAACCCAGTTCAATGAATCGTGCGTGTCATGTTGATAAGTTTACTAGGAAAACTGTGTACTCCGCTGATTTTACAGGAGAAATATAAAATATAGTTCCTGCCCTTTGGGGATTTACAATCTGGTTGGGGGAGCAATGAATATGAGACCTCATATTAATCGTGGTTCTTGGGCTTCCCTGGTGGTGCAGTGGTTAAGAATCTGCCTGCCAATGCAGGGGTCATGGGTTCAAGCCCTGGTCTGGGAAGATCCCACATGCTGTGGAGCAACTAAGCCCATGCGCCGCAGCTACTGAGCCTGCACTCTACAGACTGTGAGCCACAACTACTGAGCCAGTGTGCCACAACTACTGAAGCCTGCGCGCCTAGAGCCTGAGCTCCGCAACAAGAGAAGCCACCGCAATGAGAAGCCAAAGCACCACAATGAAGAGTAGCCCCTGCTCTCTGCAACTAGAGAAAGCCCACACACAGCAAAAAAGACCCAATGCAGCCAAAAGTAAATAAATAAAATAAAATTTTTTAAAAAATCATGGTTCTTAGTTGCAGACAATAGAAACTTCTCCAGCTAGAGGGGTATGTTTATACAAGGCATCAAGGAGCTTACAGATTTCCAGGGGGACTGGGTAACCAAGCTCAAGTACCACACAGCAAAGAGCCGTGCAGCTCTGAGAAATGCCCAATTTCATTGTTCCACTGAGACCACTGCCCCATCACTTGGCTCTTAAGATGACAGGGACCTGACACTACTGCCCCGAAAGAACCAAATCCACCTACCATACCTTCAGAGAATTCTCCCTCTCCACCTATGGTCACCATCTCACTTTCACCATGTCTGGCTTGGTGGAACCTAGTGCAACCTGCAAGGGAGTCTGGGAAATGCAGTGTTTGCATTCCAGATTCTGTGGTACAGGAACTGAGTGAGTCAGTCTGGATAATCTACCACGATCATCATGAGCCATACATCACCCATGTATAGAACTTCAACTCTGTGGGCTTAGTGGGTCCCAGGGTCCAAAAAGGTTTAAAGTGTGATCTTTGCCTTTGAGTCAAGACTGGGCAGAGAACAAGATGTACACGTTTAAGATTACTGATCAAACGGTGCAGAGTGCCAGTGAGTGACAGACAAAGCCAAGACGATGGGCTCTGTGGGCTGTGGAGGGCAGCTGTGGTTTCTGAGCAGAGGGGCAGCCTGAAATGGACCTTGAAGCATGGCTGGGTTTTAGCTTCATGCCAAAGAGGAAGAGGAGAAAGGGCACTTCTGCCTGTGGTGGTGAGTCCACGCGTAGTTCTCCCTCTCCCATTAGCTGGGCATGACCTTGGGCAAATCACTTTCTATATCTAAGATTATGGAGACAGAATAATGGCTCCTTGAAGATGCCCACGTCCTACTTCCCAGGACCTGTGAGTGTGTTACCTCACATGGCAAAGGGGACTTTGCAGATGTGATTAAGCTAAAGATCTGGAAATGTGAGATTATCTGGGATGACCCACATGGGCTCGATCTAATCACAAGAGTCCTTATAAAGGAAAGACGGAGGCAGGAGAAGAGTCAGAGGAGACATGATAACATGTCATGCCGAGGTGAGAGAGAGATTTGA